GAAGCTCTATCTGAGGGAGTGAATGGAAAGTTCAGAGCCTTCCTGGAAATGAGTGACCCGGAGAAGTTCCTGAAGAGCTTGTCTGAGGACAACAAAATGAAGACAGTAAGGAACTCGTTTGGACCTGAGGAGATAAATCTCCAGGTGGTGGAGAGCTCTCTCTCTTTGATGCCTTATGAAAGCCACCTGCAGTTCTTCGTGTGGAAGGAGATGCTGCAGGTGGTCCAGCCCCGGGCAGAGAGGCTCACATTCACAAGCCAAGGTCCGGCAATCACCGTCTCTGCTGATGGACGAAGTCTGGTTTCTGCTTGCCAACAGAATCACTATCCTCCACCAGAAAGAGCTCAGGTTTCTCTTCGAAGAAATCAATACTACTCTCCAGTTGTTGATTCTTATGCTTCCAGTAGGGGTCAGGGGGCGATTAATGATCAACCAACTTCTGTGTACAGTCAGAATGAGTTCTCCTCGGGGCAGCATTACTGGGAGATAGATGTAGGACAGAAGGCTTACTGGGAGCTGGGGGTGAACCAGAATTTCCTGAAACATAATGGCAGCACATACACGCTGTGTAAGAACAATAGAGCCAGACCAGTAACAATTGTTCATCCTTCAGGTAGTCCTAATAAAACTAGTCAAATTGGGGTGTATCTGAACTGCTCGTCCAGAGCAATCTCCTTTTATAATGCGGAAAACATGAAACTCATTCACACTATTACTAACTGTCTCATATCTATGCCAGCGCGTGCATTTTTGAAGATAGGCAGTTATGAAGATTATGTCCCTGTGACAGCATGCTGGTACTAAAAAATGACCCACGCCAGAACATGGAGGAATTCGTTATGGTACGTTTTGGTGTTTTATTTTTCCTTGCATTTGACTTTTTTTCTTTGAGCACATTTCTTTGATCGTGGGAATTTCGGGGTCAAGCTGCCATCAAAACGCAGTGAAAAAATCAGTTTATGCAATGGACATGTTTTATTTCTGAGACCCAAACTGGAAACGATGTTGGTCTGTGAAAATGCAGCGACGTTTCTGCTCTTTTCACAGAAACGTCCCGACGGGAACCTTTTTCAAATAAAACTAAATGATCTTTTTCTGCTGTCCTGAGTGTTTTCTCTTAAACATGCACTTTTAACCTCTGAATCCATCTAATTATTTACTTATTCCCAAAATATCAACTCATTAGAAGGACTGATTATAACGTTTAAACATACAAAGGTAAATGTGGATCATTTATGACCATAAATACACTAAACAGAAAAGAAAACGAGGAAACTGCAACCCTGTAATGCCAAATGTATCATATTTGATACACACGGTTTCGGAAATGTTTTGCGTCTGACACCTTTTGCTTAATTTAATTGTAAAAACTTTGCTCAAAATCCTATTGTACACAATCAGATACACCTGATAACAGGGGGCAGAAGACTACACAAAAAACAATCTTGACTTATCGCATAGTAATAAATTATTAATATCAAAAATGTATTTCTGTTTTTTCTTTTTAAATATTTTGTTAAAAGGCCAAATAAGGAATTCAAACCAAAAAAAAAGTCATTTTCTGTTTTGTTTTATTCTTGGATCAGGCTTTAAAGCGTTAAAATATCCCAGTTTTCTGCAGACTGCGACGAGAATCCGCATTTCTTTTCTCTTTCGGTGTGTTCAAACGGTAACTGCTGGCCTGAGGCCCACAGGGAGGCGAACAGGGCGCGGCCTTTCCAGGAAACTGAAACCCAGAAGCACCAGTGCGATTAGCTGGCGGAGCGGAGCTGGAGGCGGGAGCCATGGCGTCCGGCTGGTTCTCCGAGGACCTGACCTGCTCCGTGTGCCTGACCCTCTTCACCGATCCGGTCACGCTGCCCTGCGGACACTCCTTCTGCAGACTCTGCGTGGCGGAGGAGCTGAAAACGTGCCCGCAGTGCCAGACGGACGTGGCGGCGCAGGGCCAGCGTTTTCCCACCAGCCTGATCCTGAAAAGCCTCTGCGAGAAGGCCAAAGAATCCAGGAGGTCAAAGAAAGGGAACGAGCCCGAGAGGGCTGAGGTAAAAAAACAGAATTATTTTGATCAAATTAGCGTGCAATAAGTCAAAAATATATGTTGGTGTAGTCTTCTACTGGCTGTTATCAGGTATATCTGAATGTGTACAACAGGGGTTTGAGCAAAGCTTTTACCACTGAATGATGCAAAAAGTCTCAGATCCAAAAGACTTCAAAAACCGTATGAATCAGATATGACACATTTGGCATTGTAGGGTTAAACGCCTCACACTTATGAAAGAGAAACAATAACAAGTCAAACAGCAGCAGTGGAGTTATTATCAGTTCCTGTAGCTTAATGTCACAGCTCCTATTAGACTCATCTTTCCTTTTTTTCAAAATAAATCTAAACATTTTAATAGATTTTCTGCTGACAGTTTATTCTAATCAACCGCTAAACTTTATATTTTGTTTTAATGCGTTGCATGCTTTATTTACGTTGTGCATTTTGATGACATTTCAGATATTTCACCCCCTCAAACGACAGCTATTTAGCCCTTTCGGAGCTTATTCTGTGAAACTGTTACGTGTCATTTTTTCTGTTTGTTCTGTTAGAGGAAATCCTGCCAAACCACAGTTGTTGGTTCGTCTGTATTAAATCATGAAGGGAGGTTTGCTCTTATTGGTTCTGAGTGTGGACAGGAAGCCACTGTGAGAGCAAAACCACAGACAAACAGGTTCAAACACATGCCAGCAATTAAAGACGCCACCGAGAGGCAGAAACTAGAGTTTTCTCTCCAGGAAAGGGAACCTGTCAGTGAGCTGCAAAGTTAATGCTTTTGGGGCCAGTTTCAAACAGAAAATCAGCCCAGCCGATCACATCTGATCGGTTTATATTTGTATTCATGTTTTCAATTACTTCAGTTTTAAAGGGGGCATATTATGCAAAACCAAGTTTTAATCATTAAATGATGTACATTTGGGACTCAGTCATGTTTTTGTGGGCCGCCTCATTCTCAATACGGGAGATAAATCAGGAGGTTTCAGGAGTGGGTAGTTTCTGACGTCATT